TGCTCACCTGTCCCCCCATGCTCACCTGTCCCCCCATGCTCACCTGTTCCCCCATGCTCACCTGCTTCCCCATGCTCACCTTCCCTCTTCTGTTCACCTTCCCCATCTCCACCTCCTACCCATATTCACCTCCTTCCCATACTCACCCGCTCCCCTCCTCCCCTGTGCTCACCTCCTCGTGGTTCTTCTTGAGGCACAGCAGCTCCTCCTTCAGGGACTCTACCTGGGCCTCCAGGTCAGACTTGCACAGGGTCAGATCATCTAGGATCCGGCGCAGCCCGTTCATGTCTGATTCCACCAGCTGCCGCATGGACAGCTCCGTCTCATACCTGCCACATACGTAACAGGATGCCTAAAGCTCCATTTCCTTTTTACGTCCAAGTCAGATCCCACCCCAGGCTGTGCTCATTCTGTGTGTCCCACCTTAATAATTCCTCAGTGACTTAAGACAGCAAAAACCCTGCATCCTGGCATTGCCAATATCCAGGTCTACCAGCCCCCAACCAAGGAGCAAGCAGGACACTCACTTGGTTCTGAAGTCGTCTGCGGCCAGCTTGGCATTGTCGATCTGCACCACCAGCCTGGCATTCTCTGCTTTGGTGCACAGGGTCTGGGAAAATAAAGAAGTGACATGTGAAAGGAAGGACAGTCTGCTAGCCAGAGCTCCCCAGAGCTGGCAAGAACTACCTCCAGAGGGAAGGAATCAACCATCTCTGGATTCCTGGCTTCTGAGGCTCCGTGAAGGCTTATGGGCACACAGTAGGGATCAGACAGGGAAGCCTGTACAGCCCCTCCCAGTGCAGAGCCTCTGAGACCCATAACCCGGCATGGACTAGGGGAGATGAGGAAATGCTGCAGCAAAGACTGGCACGGGGACTAACTCTTGCCTTCCTAACTCCCAGGCCACTGGGGCCTCAGGGCAGGTCCTGAACAGCAGCATACTCTCTGATTCCTTGGTCACAAATGGTCCCTCCCAGGAGCCAGCAGGGACCCTCAGAGGATGTGGGCTGGACAAAAAGGAAACTGCTGATGGGCTTTTCCTTCCCTGAGTTCTTTATAGAAAATCTGATCTGCACCAAAGAAATGAAGTCCAATCCCCTCGCCTTTAAAAAAAAAGGGGGGGGGATTAAAACTCATAGAGATAGACCATGCTAGCAAAGGTTATACAGTCAGTGAGTTCACAGAGCCTGGCTCCACCAGCTGCCAGCCAGACCACCTAGAATAAGTCACTTAATCAGCCTGAGCTCCAGTGTTCCTATCTGTAAAATGGGCTAATGATATCTTCTTCAGATGACGGGGAGGAGCAGATGAGGCCACAGATGTGCACACGCTCCGAGACCTCTGAAGTGTCCCATGGGAGCAGGGCCAACAGCATGGGTGTCCTAGCTTCCAGTCCAGGGCTCATGGCTTCAGACTCCCGAACAGCCAGAGACACTCTGAACCCCTTACCTTCTTCTGGAGCTCCTCGATGGTCCGGAAGTAGGACTGGTAGTCAGGGCTCAGGTAGGGCACCTGCTGCTCACACCACTCCCGGATGCGGCCCTCCAGGCTGGCATTCTCCCGTTCCAGCTGGCGCACCTTCTCCAGGTAGCTGGCCAGCCGGTCGTTCAGGGACTGCATGGTCTCCTTCTCGCTGCCGGTGAGGATGCCATCCCCAAACCAGCCCCCACCCAGGTTGTAGCTGGTAGTAAAGCCTCCGGCCGGGAGGCAGAGAGCAGACAAGCAGCCAGCTGCCCTGCTGCTGCTCCTACCCAGCCCGACGGAGCATGCCGAGAAACTCCGGGCCCCGCGGGAGAGGCTGGGGAGCTTGCAAGAGCTGCTGGAGTACATCGCAGACACGCGAGCAGAGCCGCCGCCAGCTCCCCCCAGGCCCCTGAGAGACCCTGAAGAGAAGCTGGCCTTGAGGCACTTGGAAGCCATGGCTTCAGCAGCCCAGACGCAAGTGAGAGGTCTTCGAGGCCGGATGCCCCCCAGTGCAGAGAAGCCTCTCTTCACCCCAGGTTTATACCTCTGCTCCAGTGGGCGTTGGCCTTTACAAAGGGTTTTCTCCTCATTAAAGTTAATACCATTTTCTATAAGAACCCCTCATTACCCTGTTAGTTAGCTTCCCATGAACATTTCCCGGCCTCGTAAAGTGGGAGTCCCGTTGAACTGACGGCCACGTCGAGACGTCTCCTCCGCCCCGTGTTGCCGAAAAGACCAAGTATCCTCAGTTCTTCAAAGGGGCCTGTCATCCATGCCCAGACCTCAGCCTCAGCCTCAGCCTCAGGAGGTGTGGGAACCCACAACCACAGTCTTGACTTTCTCTAGCTTCATCTCCTTTTATGGGCCCGGGGCGGGGGGGCGGCTAGGGGGGTGGTGTAGAGGAGGCTCCTGGGTTGGCCCCTGGGTGATGGAAGAGCAAGCCTAGTTGTTGCAGGAAGCAGAGACCTCATGCCCAAGGAGACACAGAAGGCTCTAGAACGACCCTGGAAATAGGGCCATGGTGACCAGCTATCCTTGTTTCCCCAGGACTATTCTGGTTTTAGTACCGAAAGCCGCCTAACCCTGGGAGCTTCTCAGTCCCACGCAAAATGGGAAAGTTGGTCACCCCAGACAGAGCCCTGGGGGACAGACAACCTCCCCACTCCCTCCCTCCCTCCCTCCCTCCCTCACAAGGAAATCTGGCTGGTTGTATAGCCCCAACATCAGCCAAAACAACTAGATAGAGGTCAGCTAACTGAGCACCAGCCCGTGGTGACACGTACCCTACGTAGAAAGCTGTCTCCCCAGGCCCTGGCTGAGAAGTGGGGCAGCCTTTCTTGGGGCTGCCTGAGGGCTGAGGCGGAATGCTGGGACATGATCACACACCCCCTCAGGAGACACAGTCTGAACTTCAGAGTTTCAGCTCTGCTACAGGAGTTGTCTGGGCTGATGTCCAGAAGGCTTGATAAGGGTGGGTTCTTTTTCCAGAAAACCCAATGTGCCAAGGGAGTGAGGCCTGGGAGAGGGGCCAAGAGCTGAGCCAGAGGGCAGGTGGAGCTGCAACATAAGGAGCCTCATCAGAAGGAGCCCCGTGTAACTTGCCTTCTAGGTGGCCCTGCGGTTTGGGGTCTTGTTGGCTCTTCTAGGGATAGGTTTTACCTTCTTGTCAGGAGAACAGCAGCAAGCTGAGCTCCAGCAGCCTTCCTGGTGTGGGACTCACTGCTCTGCCATGCATGGTCTCACTTCCCCCTCATGTTGCCCTGTGAGCCCAGACTTGTCACCCCCACCTCAGAGCCGAGGAAACATCTAGAACAGCACTGCTCGTAGTGAGTGCTCAGAAACGGCAACCACTATGATTACTGGTCCCCACATGGGTGGAGTCTTGCTGTAGTAAAGCTGACAAGGCTAAGAAGCTGTCACTGGGGAGTGTGGATGGGCTCTGAGCACCTGGGCCACCATCCCACAGGCCGGGTGCCTGTGTTTGGGGGCCTCAGATCTAGAACTCTCATGAGTCACCATGCCCTTCCCACCCCAGGAGCCTGGTGAGACCAGCATCTGCCCAACAAAATCCCAGGACCCATTGGCTGCCTCACCTTCTCCTCCCTGGAAATCCATGCCCCAGTGCAAAGGACGCAGCTGAGCTGAGAGCCCGGATGAGCCACCTTTGCCATTCATGTTTCCCATCCATGTGCATACAGGGCTCCACCCAAGCCCTGCTAAGTCACAGCCTCCTGTGCTCTGGGCTCAGTGAGGGCTACCCTGGATGCACAGGACCCAGAAAAGCCACAGCAGCCAAGGCCTGGGAAACCTCATGCTAATTACACACCCTTGGGGGTCACATGGGTTACTAGGCAGGGCTCCACACCTGTGCTGCCCAGAACGGGTTTGTCTCCCCCACACAGACCAGTTAATGACAAGGCTAATGGTACCAGCCATCTGTCGCTAAGTGCTTAGGACTGCCAGGCCTCATGCTGAGCTGTCTCCAGGCCTTGTCTCATTCACAGCTCACGATAATCTCATGAGACTAGCATCGCCAATAGCCCCATTTAGTAGATGAGTAAACTGAGGCTTGGAATGTTTCTGGAGCCTACCCCTGCTCCAGTCCCGCTTTGCCCTCCTGGCTCTAAACCTCCATGGCAGTGACCGATAGTTGATCTGCTGACCCTCCCTTCACTGATGTGCTCAAATTGTCTGGTGTTTGAGCCCTATCTTTCCAGGGAGACTTGTACATTCTCAAGGGCAAGGACAGACCTCCTATTTCTCTTGAAATCTCTATTGTTCAAGCACAGTGCTGGCTTCCAGATATATCAGAGGGAAAGGGTAAATGAATGAATGCTTTGCCTGTGGTGAATTGTGTTAATTAAGAAGGCAAAGGAAAGGTTTTGAGGGAAGGGGAACATAATAAAAGTGGAGAGAAGGAATAAGGTAGAAAGGAGAAAAAAGTGGGTAGGGAGCTGGAAGAGAAAGACACTTCCAAAGACAGTCTTACTCTCTCTACTGCTATACATAGGGAAACTGAGGCTCAGAGATGGAAAGAGATTAATTTTATAAAACATAGAAGTAATATGTTTAGGGACGCCTGGGTGGCTCTGTCAGTTGAGCTTCCAACTCTTGGTTTCAGCTCAGGTCATGATCTCAAAGTCTCGAGATCGAGACCCGCATCTGGATTCGGGCTCAGCAGGGAGTCTGCGGGAGATTCTCTCTCCCCCTCCCCCTCTGCTCCTCCCCCTGCTCATGCTCACTCGTTCACTTGCTCTCTTTCGTAAATAAATCTTAAAAAAAAAAAAAAGTAATATTTTTAAAGCTATGAGATAACCTCTAAATCATTCTGGACTATTTCCATTCTTCCTTAGCACTCTTCTTATTAGAAAAAAATAATTACCTGGAACCCCTTATTGGCAAGAACCAATCTTGCTTAGTAAGTCTCCGAATTACTTTCCCTCCAGGACCTGCGCCCTCTGCTGAGATGGGGTCTGCACTGTCTCCAAAACATGGCCATGCCCTAAAAACCCTTTGCCCTCCTCCTTCCTGCTCTGCCCATCCTTCAAGGCCCCCATTAATTCCAAATCTCCCCTACACCCCCAGTTCTCCTTGATCTCTCCCTGTCCTGAGAACCCGAGAGCCTGCCCTACACGCACACTTGCCATGCCCGGTGCTGGGGGTGACGGCACAGGTGTTGTCTCCCGTCTCCCCAGCTGGGCCATCGGCTTCTTGAGGACAAGGCCTGAGATCCCACACTGGGTCCAGCTGCTTCCCCCAATGTCCCCACTTCTCCATAGACGTGCCGCTGCTTTAGCACTGGGTTTTCCACACACGGGGTGTTCAGTACCTATCTGTTGACTGACTAATTGACCTGAGTGTGTGTCAATGAGCCAGATGGCATCTTGGCATCAGTATAAACAAGATCAGAAATGCCTTGAAAAAAAAAGGATTATGTTCACTCTGGGAAAATTCGATAAAATATAATGTGTCCTATCATCTTTCTCTCTGCTATCGAGAAAAGAGCAATGACATGGGCATCAAAAGGCTTGAGAGGGCATCCTAAGCCTGCCACTCGCTGCACCAGTGTGGGCCCCTGGCTGTGCTAAGTTCTGGTCTGCCCAGTAGTGAGGAATTTAAGCTAGAACTCAGTTAAGAGTAGGTTACGAGGTTGAGAATAGGAGGGCTTCCTTACCCAGTGCAGATGCTCTGAAAATTTCATGAAAAGCTGGATAAAGCTACATAGAGAAAGCACCCACAATCCCACATGGTGGTGTGAGCTCCTGAGATGAGGCATCCCATACCCTGTGGAGTGAGCCCATTCGGACAACGCACGGTGCAGGGGGAGGAGCTGGCTGTGACTGCTGGTCCGGACACAGCCCTGTGTGGTCTGTCTGCCTACAGCAGCAGGAGGGGGGCAGCTCGAGCAGAAGTCAGAACAGACGTCCGTCCCTGCCCATCCCTGACTGTCTCCATGCACCAGCACACAAGGGTGGGACACGCTCTCTGCACCCCCAGCCGCCCACCTCTCCTGTCCGGAGCCTCAGGCCAGAATGGAGAAAGGTGGACCTCAGGGGTGCGGAGCACAGGAAGGAGCAGGACAGGGCAGGGCTGCCCCTCTGACTTTGTCCAGCAGGTAGTAATGACTCAGGTCATTGGGGAGGGGTGAGACAATACTAGGGGGAAGGGCGCCAACATCCCAATCAGAATGGCCGACCATGGCCTCTTCCTTGTCACTCGCTGCTGTGTGGCCCGGAGCAAGCTGCTATCTTCTCCGGCCCTGTGTTCTCCACAAAGAATAAATCCGGGGGACAAAAAATAAGCCGTGGGGCTCTCAGACGTCTCACAGGTCATGCTTCTCTGCTCAGAGGGGTGTCCAGGGCCTGGCACAGTTAGGCTGGGCTCCCAGAAGGGCACAGCTCAGCCAGGAGAATTCGGGGCGCTCTGCCCTCTGCCCCACAGTGAGCTTCCTTCCCCCTCCTCCCTGTCTGACCCCCCACACGTCCTTGTCCCTGCCGTCCTTCACTTCAGCCCTGTATCCGGCACTGGGAGTCAGCTGACCCTCCTGCCTTCGTCCCCGAGCTCCCCTCCCTGAGGTGGTCAGTCCAGGCTGGCTGGCTGCGGTCTGCCTCTCCCCACTCGGTCCTGGAAACTGTCCTCCTGAACTGTCACCAGGGTCAGGCCTGGGGATGAGCCAGCAGGGTGGTGCAAGCTGGACAAAGGAGGAGAAGCTGAAGGGGAGGAGAGGGGGCCCCCAGATCCAGACAGGGCAACTGAGGAAGGCTGGCCTGGGAGACTGTCCCTTGTGGGGCTGCCCCAGGTGGGTACCCATGGGCAGGGCTGAGCTTGTGGGTAATGGCTATGCCCATCTGTTCACACGGCCAGGGTCTGAGGTATCCCCATTTTTAAATATTTTAATCGTCCTGTCACTTCCTACCACCCAGACGCAGGAAGATAGACGTGAGACCAAAATCCACAGCTTTACTCTGACCCTCGATCAAACATCCGCACTAGCTAACTCACAAGAACAGAG